TTCTTAAAGTCAAACCAAACAGTGGCCTCTGCTCCCCCCTCCGCCCACTGTGTTGTTTTGTTACCAGTCCCTAAGGCGCGGAGTCGTGTGAATTGACGCGAGAACCTGTTGTCATGGTGTTTGTACTTTGGACTTGAATTTTGGCCTACGTCAATCAAAGACGCAAAGCGTGATTCACGGTGTACATTGCTCATATGCTTCCCCCCCCCGCCCGGCCCGAGCGCCACAGCTGGATAGTGGCCTCGGTGTGCCCGGCGTGCTGACTTGGTGTCGCCTCATCCGTCGTCAATGCCCGTCCTTATCAAGGCCGGTGCGACAGTGAGTTGACAGGGCTATCGATTTGTCCTGTCGTTTCACTCGGCTAGAATGGCCGGGGCCATTGTGTGATCACAGCCAAGAGCTCGCATTTCATTGGTTGATTCATAGTTTGCATTCAGATCGTACCTCCCGTCGAGCGCGCGCCAATCTGCAGCTAGGTGGACCCAGACTTTGGGGAGGAGGAAGGGTGAAAGGGGGCGCAGAAGCCCAGAACCATTGCACTTTGCTGTAAATTACGGAAGGTTGTCGGTCTCCCACCCTGCCGGGCTCTGTGAGGTTTGCTCGCTGTCTTGAACTTATGCATTTGACCGTCAAACTCCGGAATTTCGTGAGGTCCTGTCAAAAGGTGGCTCCGTTTAGTCAGTACGGTGGGAAGTTGCGTAAATTTTTATGACATTCAACTCGCGAGGACTAATGTCGACCTGGCATTTTCTACTTAAACAAACCGAATTTAAGGTATGTACTGCTTCCTGAGTAAAGTTTACCGAATAAGCTTCTCCCAGATAACTTGGAAATTTTATGTTCGAGAGGCAATATGTTGGAAGTGCATTCTCCACCAGCCACGTTAGGAGACATGCTCGCTCCGTTGTGCTCTGGAGTTCGATCTAGAGCTCTGCAGGCAGTCACACGCAGCAACTAGTAGTATAAACAGAAGGGGATTACCGACAGAGGCATTGGAGACTGGGATGACCATTTCTGGCTTATTAGCCGCCGTCAGCCAGCCTTCTACGTATACTACTAGTGACTGCGCGACTGTCCGCGGAGCTCTAAATCGAGCCCTAAAGCACAACGGAACGAGCATGCCTCGCAACGCGATCTGTGAATGTACTCCCGAAATCGTTAATATTCCCAATCGCAAGCGACAGGCCAGCGAGTCCGTATCTCAGTTGGTGGGCGTTGGGCTTAATAATGCTCCATTACTGAAGGACACGGGACCGGGGTTCGGGTGCGGCAAGAATCTGGGTCTGGGTAAGGTTGGTTGATGAGGCTAACAGGCCAGAAGTGGCTATCCCAGTCTCCCTTGTCTTTGTCGGTAATCCACTGCATATGCAGCTGTAGATACCGCAACTGCAACCCACTGCCCGCTAACATTGTCTTCCCAGACATGTACTTCTATTCACAAAACACTATCCCACCAACAGCTTAACTGACGATAGGAAACAGATTTTGCTTAAAGTCCTAACATCTGATGCCAACGCTTTGATCTAAAGAATTCACCAGTTTACCTCATCTTACGACTGGAAGCCCTGTAGTTAGTGAGGCTTCCTTCTGTGTCTGTCCTTCCAACCACTTAGCTGGAGAGGATATATCCTAGCTCACAAAAGTAGGCGCAGATGGGCGGGGAGTATTTCGGTGGCAGTTTTGATTGTAAGTCTTCCCAGTGGGCGTTCTCCGACTCCAGGTCACAGGGGAGTGGGCATAAAGCGGGCTACCGTGGTGCGTGCCTTGCGGTGCTCGGGAATAATAGACCGTGTCCTGGTCGTTGTCCAAACCATCCAGTAATTGACAGGTGAAAAGCATACACTCATGCAGGGACGGGGTAGCTCCCTCCCCTCCGCCGCACACGGCAGCCCTCTTTTGTCTTCTTTGTCCTGTCTGTTTGGTCTTCTTAATGCTCACGACAGCGGTAATTCAGCCCCATGAGTGTGGCTTTTACCGAAGGCCTACTACAGGCACACATTTTGGACACAAGAGACGTCTGGCAATAAATGGGTCATACTGTTATTCTTCAGCCTATTCTAGTTCTTAGGGCGGCTCACTTTGGGGACCGGAATAAGCTGAATTTGGATAGATAGATAGATAATTTTTTATTAAAGACCCGTCGGGTTCCCATCAAAGCAAGTTAAAATAAATTTACATGCGAGTTTTAGACGAGGTAGGCCGAATCTTTACAAACTGCAATTCATAGTTTCTGAATTAGTAGTCCATTGAGAAACATGATGATTGAGGGGTGAAAAAAACTCCTTACAAAAAGTTAAAAATGATTGGATTAATTTTACAGGAGAAAAAAAACCCTCAATAAAAATAATGACAGAAAAAAGCGAGCAGGACTGGCCTGTAGGTGGCGGTATATAACGGAATGTTGTCGGCCATCGTCAGGGTAGCAATAAATCTCAGCCTTGAGGGGTACGCATGCGGGTCAGACAGGAGTGGCTTGCATGTGGCATTGTATACGGGATTCACAATTGAGATCGTCTGGGCCGGATTGATACGCCGCATGAGACTTTTACGCCGCGTCAAAGAGGCCAGACGAGAGGAACCCAGATGCGATCGGCCACAGCACGCTTCGAGCTCAGCCGAGCAGTGGGGAAGGGAGGTACGACCAAACTACTAGTAGACGGCGAATACTGAGGGTTCCGCCCTGAGCGTCGACGGACCGCATGAGGCCGGAATGCGGGAGATGACATCGAAAACCGCGAAAATTGTTGCTATTGGGAAGGAGTGATAGCAGTCAATTTTACGAACGACAATCACTTGCAATACTTAAATGACCGGAGCCCTCGAACGCGAGGTGATACGAATCAGTGAAGGATCGAGCTATGTTTGCAGAACCTAACTTCTGTCTTTTAAGTTTCACCTATCTTTTATCATAAGTTTTGTGGACCCTAACAGTTCAAAGAGCGCATTAATGCCTCGCGTCCAAAATGAATTGTAGCAAGGCAAGTTCGCGCGCCTCCTACCTTCCTCACTACCTCCGCGGTTGGTATGTTACATCGAGAAAAAAGATTGAGAAGACTGAAAATAGATGCTAACGCAGTGAATGACGAGGTCGACGCCACGTTTACGCCCGCTTGACATGTGCTCGTCCCTATACACACAAGTCAGACTTGAAAAATTTATCTTAGATCTTTTCGGATGAAGTGCCCATGGAGACCACACCAGGCAGCCACTGGATCCTGACTCTGGTTCCGAAGGAGAGCTGAGTTATCAGTTGGCAACCCTTCAAGCCCCGACCGTCAACAAGTATTAATAATTTAAAACGATTCGGGTCGTTTATGGGGAGGAGACTGGGTCTGGATTGACCTTACTCCTTCCTTCTCCCATGTGCCAGTGACAGGTTTGAGTTAGGCTGACCAGAGAGACAACCCGATCGGGCACAATAGTTATCTTAACGTGAAACGCCTGCATAATGCGTCCTAGGCACCACCAAAAACATACACTGAGTTTGTTTAAAAAACTTGTGGACGCACGTCGACAGTGGGGGCATGTTGCAGGGGATTGGGGGTTGGTGGCCCTACAAATCTTGCGTGCTTACCGATTCATCTTGACCTTCCACGCATATCTTAGCAAAATTTTGAGCAGCGCTTGTTTCTCTAAATAGACCGACCGTCTGCATTTACCACGTAACGAAAGTGGTGATTAGCGAATATGTTGACACTATTGGCGTTGTCTTGTGAGGTAAGACTGTTACTGTAAACTGAGATAGGTTTTTTTCTTTCTATCCTTTAACCTACATCCAATTCGAGAGGGGGCTGTGACCTGTTCAGGAGTGCTTACGCTATCTTCACCCCATAAAGGACACAACTATCCAATGATTTTTAGTGTAGTTGCAGACTACTCGACGCAGCCACGGGTGGCGGCTGATGTACTAACTTTCAGCAGAGACCAGCTGTGAATTACGCAGGCTCTCAGGCCTGCCGAGTAAGCAGTCGCGGACGGTGCAGGGGGCGTAACCAGGAACCAAGCTTGCATATTCGGTAATCAATAGGATGGTCTTAAGGCAAAGGCAATGCCACGATACGGCCAAATTTGTGCCCCCACCGTCATTCGGTTCAATTCTGAAACCGGAAATTGCTGTCAGAGTGTTCGGCGGAGTCTTTCACCCTGTGGTCCAGGAACTAGACGAAGTCCTCCGACAAGCGTACGACTTAACAGAGTTTTGGACGACCGAAAGGCTGTGGTCCGCGCACTCTGTTCGGACTGGGGACAGTGGCGCTTAGGGGGCCACTTTCTGTCTACCAGCAACAGCCACCTCAATCTAATTACTGCCATTCACAGGAATGGTTTCGCGCCAAGCTCTAACAACAGCATGCTTCTGTATAAGATGGAAGACTTGCATTATTAACCATAAAGATTTGTCCCGAGGGTTATACTAACCACAGTATCTTTAACCAGTACGAGCTACTCTGTACAGCATCATGGCATGGTAGTTGGTGCGCGCAATACGGGCACGCAGAACAACGAGCATCACTGCCCGCTACTTTATATGGAACTTTGTTTGAAAACTTTTCGAGTTATTACATCTCCGCCACGCCCATCTGAGTATTTGGTTCGATACTAGGATTTGGATGAGAGCAAGTGTTTATGCAGTTTTCTAAAGATGAATGGTGCTTTTTTCAAAGTGATTTTGGCTAATAGGATAAACGCCGTTGCTGCCGCAGGTCTTCTCCAGTTCATAATTTCTCTCAATCCTTCGATTGTTTCCAAGAGTTGACAACGCTTCTCTTGACCGATTAGGGGAGGATACGCTGGGGAAAGGGGGGGGGAAGTTACGGACAAACGAAGACCTCTGATTTGGTTTTTTGATTGGTTGAAGCCAGCGCTGGACGGAGAACACAGCCTTTTCTCGCCGGAGGAGTCTGGGGAGGCGACAGTCGCTCTTCTGGACAGAGGGGGTGGAGATGGGGTGGGTAGTGTACTTCGCCTAGTCTGTCTCCAGCGCCGCCACTTCTTCAGTCCCCATGGGAGCTGCTCCTCGTGTTTCTGTCTTCCTGCCTGAGGGACGCCCGACTGCCAATTTGGCCTTCCGTTTTGCGTATTTTCATGTTAGTTTTAGCGGCTGATAACATCAGTGCGTCAGCTTACTCTAGCTAGCCTGCTTGTCCTCGTAGAGGACTGCTATTTTCAACACCATCCTCCATGAGGAGACGACGTCAACCAGTTTGCTTTATTCTCTCCCTACCCACCATCTCGATTCTTCTCCTTCTAATTTAACATCTCTTGAGAATTGACGTCACGTTAGTTATTGGAGCTTTTAATTTTGGGGATGAACTGATAAAGGTGACTGAATGTGCGTTCTGATGGGCCTTGGAACCGACTAGTGGTATTTATTCTTCTTCAGCCACTTTAAGAACAGTAGATTAATACACACAGAACTGCCGTCCAACTGAAATGCTAACTGAATGCCAAAAGACTGAAGCTGTTACCGTTGATTAAGTTTAAACGCACCTTTTCGTCTGCGTGTCCTTTCTGTTTAGCTGTCGCCCCAGACTCCAAACAACGCATTTTCGCAATTTAAATATGGAACTGTGAAACCTCCCCTCTTGGTTCTTAATATTTCGGAGGCAGCACGTGTCGGCCATCACAGCCTCCATCTTCCCCTTGCAAAAGACCTGGATGCCCCACCCTTCAACGTTCAGCGCTACGAGCCCGACAAGGCCACATTTCCAGGCAAAACCTTCGAACTGAGAACGCCAAAGCGCGAATTGCAGCCTTCCGGTGGACTGGGTGTCGGTGGTGACATTTCTAGCCAAGACAGCCTCAAAATTACCGGGCTGGATCTGCTGTTGATCGGCCCTCTTGATCGGGAGACTGAGCCCAGTTATGAATTTCAGATCTTTGCGGTAGACGGTGGTCTGAACAATCCCCTCACCGGCACTCTTTCGGTGCGGATCCACGTGACCGACGCGAACGACAATGCGCCTACGTTTGAACGCAGCACCTACGAGAAAAGCGTGAAGGAGGGTGAGACGGGCATCGAGATCCTTCAAGTTCATGCAGTCGACCGCGACGAAGGTGCCAACGCTCGAATAAGGTACAGGTGGCTGCCCGAATATGATCGATTCGGGGTGGACATAGATCTTTTGGAAAGGGAGGAGTTGACTGATTTGGAACTAAGGCGCCTGGGCCAGCAGATGACACCTGACCGTTTGATTCAACTTCGGGAGCTGCCTAACTACTGGTTTCGTTTGGATCCTCTGACGGGCAGCATCTTTGTACACCGACCCCTCGACTATGAGGCAAAACCTGGATTTGTTTACCATATCATGGCTGTTAATCCCAGTCCGCCAACCAGGGATGGATTTGATCAGAATACAGATATGTCCAAGCCCTCGAAGAACTCTCCATCCACCACGAAAGTTATCATACACGTGAGTTCATACTTGTATTCTGCGTAGCCTATTGTCGGACAGCCAGCCAGATAAAGCGAGACACCGGTCTACCTCGTCGTCTTTACTGCATTTAAAGCGACTATGCAGCTATTTTGGCCTTCAACTTGTTAACTTTTGTACTGACTTCGCAAAGTTTAATTTGTGCCGATTTCGTCGGAAGCAAAATACACGTTCGAGGCCTAACATGTTAGCCCTTTATGTACCAACAGGTTGCCTAGTTAGGAAGGATCTTTGTGCGTATTGGGATACTTTATCCAGCTTCGCATAGGGGGTCGTTTCACCGAGCTGATCTAGAAAGTGGGCAGCCCAGTGTGCAGAGTTATCCGTTCTCAGCCCTGAAATACTCAGAGTGAGGGCCCTTGTCGTTTTGTGGAGGCCTGCGGGCGGACCATGCGTGTGTGTGTGGCAGGCGTAGACTGGCCACTTAGCTTTGTCAGCCAGTTCGCCCCACCCCTTCCCGTCCTCCTGATTCTGCCGTGACCCCGGACCCAGATGGATGGGGGAAGGGAGAGTGCGGTAGATGCTGCGCTAGTCACCGTGCCCGCATCCTCCATGCTGCAGGGCATAGAGCGGATATCGTCGTTCGCGACAGTCGGGCTGTCGGTTTGTGCATCCAACCTCTGAATCAGATCTTCCCAGGCATCCAGTCCAGGTGGAAGAATAAAAATTGTTAGTTGATCTTTTTGACGTGTTGCGGTTTGGCGAAAGCAGTATGCAACTCAAAATAGCAGTTTACTGAAAAGCAACTTATACATCTCGTATTCAAAATTTTCGTAGAAATAGTACCACTTCACATAAATATAACTTTCTTAAGAACGTCCCATCGCTGTGCTGGGCATTGTAACAAGATAGGCGACAAAAAGACAGGTTCTGTTTATGTGGAAGATTTCCGCAGTTAATCGATATCCTCGTGGTTTTGCGAAAAAATGCGAGCGAATAGACTGGAGGAAAAAATCCGATGTGAGAACCTGAACCGAGGCGCTGGTGCGTTCACATGTTAGATTGGGGTCACCCTCAGACCAGAGAGTTGCAATTCGTCAGCGGCGCATGCATCCTAAAGCTGCCGAATAGAACACAACCAGTTATGTTAGTGGAATGGATAGGCACGTCCACACGAGAATGTACCAAATCGAACTGCATATGAGTCGGAGGGAAAAACTTACCCGTCGGCTGCTCACTCATTCTCGTCACGCAAAACACCGTTTTCGGCCTCGTAAGAATCTTGGGCCAATTAAGTAGCCAGATTTCGCGCCTTCTCAGGAAGTGTGACGTTCAGACGATGACCCCATTAATAGGCATACCGATCGGCCATCTGCTTATGTGGCTCGGCGTGAAAATATCAGTGATACAGCTTAAGGTAATTATCGGCAGAGGTGAGCTAAATATACAATGAGCTGAGCGTCTCCTTCATCCCTTTCGGTGAAATGCGACAGTATTGTGGGATTAGTAATCTGTAATTGGGAACCACGGCAGACGAGAATTATGCCAGAAGTTGCATTTCCGCCTTTCTCTCTCTCTCTCTCTCTCATCTTTGTTACGTATCGATTGCTTGTCTGTCCTCGAAGTAATCACTGCCATCTTAACAGACGCTGCACTTTGCCTCGCAGGCGTGAACCGCGTCGCCAGGACGTCTACTACTCGAAGTGTCGTGGACGAACTTCGAAGGGTGATCCTCTCGCGCAACTCTTCTTGCCTTGTGGCATGCAATCCCTATGGGCACAGAACCGTACCTCTATGCTGCTTAAGTCTCGAGCACCAGCTCCCGTTGTCTGATTTCGCGATGCCTTTACGGTCCTCGGGTTTTCGCACTTTTACTTTGGTCACAAAATTGGATTGGAATCACTGTCTTTTGCGGCCTTGTACCTAGGATTTGCAAAAATCCAAATTAAGATGGCAGACCGAGCGGACACTGATCCTAGAAAAACAGCTTTAGGCGCATTCCCTCGATAAAGTCACCGACGACTGGTATCCTACCCTCACGCATTCGGGTGCAATTCCTTTTCTTTTTAGCGGAAGCTGGTATTCCGTAAATTAGGTGCGACTGTACAAGTTGAAAGCGTTTTCACTCATTTGTCAGCACGTTTAATTGAATATGCTCTAGGCAGAATAGCACTGCCGACAAAGACAAGGGAGACTGGAATGGCCATTTCTGGCTTACTAGCCGTCGTCAGCCAGTCATACCCAACCCCGAAGTGTAGCACACCCGAGGCTCGAACTCGCGACCTGTTAGTTAGAAGTCCACGCCTCTAACCACTGGGCCACGAGCCCGTTGCCCTGTCGGTTTATGACAGGGCTAATAAGCCAGAAATGGCCATTCCAGCATCCCTTGTCTTTGTCGGCAATGCTAATTTGCCTATATCATGCGCTGCTGTGCGACTGCTGGTTGGACTTGAGATAGAGCCAGTAAGGCACAACGGAACGGGTGAGTTCCGTAAGAACGATCGGTGAGCGTCCCTTACCATTGAATATGCTTTTTCAGAATTCCTGCCAGATTGACTCTCGAATTAGGGATTATCCACAACCTCCGGCCTGTAATTTACTCCATCAGGGAAACTGCGTTGCGTAAATTGCCAGAGGAAAGCTGGAAATCCTTTTCGCACTTATTATTTTATAGAAATATCGTTATTCTTTCCAATGAATGGCGTTATCTTAGAGGAGAGGGATGAAAATTACTTTTGCTGAAGGTAGAGTGAGCTTCAGGGAGTTGAACGCCTTTAGCTGATGTTCCTTCCTTCCACGACTCCCGCGTTCTGGATGTTAAGTAACGAGACCTAATCCAGCCACACGGCTACCAAAGTAGACTTGACATATGTGTATCTGCATATGATTGCTTTTGCTTTAATCATTCGCCATATTTTTTGTTTTTAAGGTTATAAATCTTAACGATGAGAATCCGCAGATCACTATTGACTATGTTAGCAACGAAGACGTCAAGCACAAGCGGATTATGGAAAACGGCGAGATTGGCTATTTCATCGCCCTCATACGCGTCACCGATGCGGACGCCGGATATCTAAAGGGCCCAGGACATGTCGATGACCCCTACCTTATCGAGTCCTCCAGCTTGTCTTTCGATCATACCTTTTTAACACTGTCAGACATCGCGGGCACAAACGACCCACAAGGCGCTGGACATGTGTCTTGCCAACTAATCAGTCACAAGGAGAACTACACCTTAAGTGAGAGGCCAGATTCACCAGGAAAGGAGTACATACTGTCTACGAAAACTCCTCTCGACAGGGAGGTGGATGACCGTCAGTTTATTGAGATTGCTTGCTACGATCATGGCTCTCCACAGAAGACCTCGACAGCCACAGTAGAGGTAAGCGTATTTATACGCCTACTTAAATATGTCAAGTAGCCAGTTAGTTAGCATTAAATATGACTTTGATTGTACCTATCTAGGTGGAGATTCTGGACCAGAACGACTGCGACCCGGAAATCCAGGTCTTTACAATCCCCACCACTCGCACTGGAAGAACACTTCAGTTGCCCCTACCTCGAAGCCGTCTAGCCCAGATCCTGAATGAATTTCCGAAGTCGCAACCAACCCCAGTCGATCATTCATTATTTGCCGCGTATTCTGCCGGCATCCCCGTCGTGCCCATCAACATCTTGGAAAACCAGCTCGCCGGTGTAACTGTAGTTTCGCTACGCGCTGTCGACAATGACGCTGGTGCCAACGGACAAGTCAGCTTTAAGATCATAAAAGAGGAAACTTCCTTTCCACACATTAGTGCCACATCACCCCAGGACCACCCCACCGGACGTTACCCGGAAGCCGAACTGGACTTCTCGGCACCACATGTCCGTATTGCAAGTGACATCGAAGCATCGGACCTATTTCAGGTGAGTGCGACTAAAGTTTTCCGGTCAGCTACTTTACCATTTCAAGTTAAAGTACATTTTGATTGTAATCAATAGAGGATGCTATCTAAATTGGTCTTGCTTTGTCTCTTTCGCCATCGGGTTTTTACTTGTTCAAGAGGCTTGAATGAAGGCATATCACATGTGTGAGATTATTCAGTCTATCTTGAATCCTGTTGGTAATCTACCGAATCTGAGAACACTTTTTCTGCGCTATACGGCTCTGGTAGTTCAGATGTCAGAGTATGCCATCATTCAAGGAAGTATTCTTAATGTAGTTTTTTTTACTCTGTTGCAGCTGGACCCAAACGGAGACATGAGTGCTCGCAGAAAGATTGATCGCGAAGAATTTGCCGCACTCAGAAACGAGCTCTATCTTCTCGTCCAAGCTTCCGATCACGGCCAGCCCTCACGTTCTTCTTACATTTTTTTAGCTATTGCCATAGAGGACGAGAATGACAATCCGCCGGTGTTTGTCATACCTCAAATGCAGTTTAACGTCTTTGAGAATGAGCCTGCACCGCAACGTATTGGCGAGATTCCCGTCTACGATGCCGACATGGGTGCACGGCTCCAACAAGAAGGCTCCTTTCCCGAAAAACAGGAGGATAAACGTCTGCCACGGGTAACCAAGCCAGCGGAAAATTATATTCGTCTTCTAATCAACCCTGGTCATGGGTTACCCGAGTTACCTTTCGCCATCGATGCCGCACCCAACGGAATTTTCTATCTCAACGTGACTCGCTCTCTGGATCGTGAGGCGGAAGAGGGTTTCCGCTTTTCCATCGTCGCGTCTGACTATGGTAGCTCGCCGCACGTTCGTGCACGCACGACCACTGCGTCCGTCAGTGTTAACGTCCTCGACAGGAACGACCACGCTCCCGAGATCATCTTCCCACGTCCAGCTCTACCCAACACGAACGTGCACAAATTATCCTTCAATGAACCGCCGGGCTATGAGATACTCAGCGTTAATGCCAACGACAAGGATGCCTCGGAGGAGAACAATCGTTTCACTTTCGAGCTTGGGCCTACAGTTTCTTCCATTCCTGGCGTGGACCCCGCCTGTCTGGCCAAGACTGCTTTCAATCGTGATCTGTTCAAAATTGACGCCGAGAGGGGCCTACTACAGACAGTGAGGCGAATGACTGAGGCTGATATTGGCGAGCACTGGATTCAGGTGATTGTTCACGACACGGGCTTGCCACCACAGGAGACTCGGCACACCATCAGACTGGCTGTTGATCGTTCCGCGCCGCACTTTGGCGGTCGTGGACGATCCGGGAAGGCGGGCGGCGTCGGGAGCTACCTGCATGAGGAAATTCCTGAGCCGATTGGCGGAAGTTCTGTACGTCATCCCAGCGCGGGGCACCTTGATCCTTTAGCAGTTGACTACGACGGTTATTCCTGGCCAACCTCTGTTAATGGTGTGCGAGGTAACACCGCATCCGACATTGTGCTCTTCGTCATAATCAGCCTGGTGCTGGCAATTTTTCTAGTGTTTGCTGGACTCTGCATTTACCTGCGACATAAGCAAAAATTTTGCAATTTTCTGCCTGACGTGTGCGTTTTATTCAAACGCCAGACTAGCCACCCTTACAACAGTCCAACCCATGTCTGCCGAAAACCCAAGGATCCTACGAGGGAGGGGTGCGATGTAGCTACAAGTGTTCCAGGTCCGTTGATAGGCGACACCAGACGTAGCCTGCCATCGCGTCCAATAGCCTTCTCTCCTGATGGTCAACCAAAAACGCTGTTTGATTTTCCTGATCGTCAGCAGCAGTCGCAACAGATCTTGAAGTGTTCGACACAAGCCTTCCCTCATTCCACCATGTTTGGACCCCGATTTCAAACAGAGATGCCATTTGGCGTCCCAAGGATTTTAGACTGCGCTGACTATTTGGAGAAGCCGGTAGGTATTTTTGCATGATTTTTACCTCATTATTTCATTGTTGATGAGCTAACGAGCATAGCCATCATCACAATTGTTAATAACTTAGAGACGTTAAAAGGATCACACGTGGTGTCACAATTTAAATTCTCATTAATATGTGAGAGCTCCCTAGGTTTTGCTTTTTTGACTAATTTTTCACTTGTGAGGCAAAAATGTGAAATATGTGCGAACTTTTAATATTGTAGTTGTTTGCGTCTGAGTAGTTAAGAATACAATTGGCCATAATTACTAACAGGGACAAAAGACTGCAGTAATCATTTCCCAGCCGGACTTCACGCTAAGAAGAAGCGGAGCTCAAACCTGGGCTCAGTCATAACACCAAGTCCAACGATCCCTGATTAAGGGGGGGGGGAGCGTGAATATTCATAGATATGCGGTAGCATGGCGGCTGCATCCTATAAATACTGCAGCCCCCTGTGCATGAACCACCCGTATCTGCTATTGTCCCTGATGCTGGGTTCGAGCAGGAATCCGAAGCGTCGGGTTAATCAAGCTCTTGTCCCAGCGATCGTGTCATTCTTCACAATTTTCTGTTCTCTTAACTCTGCAGTGTATCGATAATTCGACGGTTCATTGCGACGACTTCCGCTGTGTGCCCATGGAGTAGGCGTAACACCAGTGACTTGCGTGTGAATTACTTTATAATGAGGTAGACTTTCGTAGCATCTACCACACCCTCTTCTCACTCCTATCCTGTTCCGATGGCAGGGCAAAACCAAGACGACCGATGATGCCCATGGGCACGGTGGCTCACAAAGCTAAGCAGCCTGTCCGCGCGTATCATACACGACCCAGTTCTCACTCCAGACGCACCAGGCCATGTGTGTGAGAATGTTATAAAAACCGTATCAAGAAGGAGCCACTTTCAGCTTTGATAAGGGCACAATTATCCCGTCAGTTGGCAGCCTTCCAAAACCACGACTGATAGGGCGTATTGTTAGGTTCAAGTGCGTTAGATCGTACTGAGTGCTCTGATTTGCCTTGATGAAGGGTTCACCAATGTCAGCCTCATTCGCCCTCCCCTCTCCCATACACCAGTCGACCGTCTGAGCCTGTCAACTAACTCGCTGACTTAGCGCAGCCACACAAACGCGTACCATGAGCCAATCTGTCCTCCGTTCCGCCCCAGCGAGACAGCAACGCAGCCCGTTTTGAAGGGCAAAAATGTACCAGAGTATAATGGCGAGGCGTGATTAGAGAGACTTCCAACTGGCTTTCATGTCCAAGAAGTGAGTCGTCAAATTTTGTGTTCTCTGTGGAAGGATTTACCGTATCCTAAAGCATTATGGTTGGTCAGTTAAAATGAGGCACGGCATTACGGCCTTTCCGCACCTGTTTCCCGTTTGACAAATAATCCTTTCTCCAGGGTTTTAAGTTACTCAGAAATTACTCGCTAACTTGGAGTAAATCAGACTGAATTTTGATATGAATATTTGGGACGAAGTCTATCAGCCACTTGTATGATATGTCATGCTATCTCAGTCCCTCTTCCCTAAATCGTGTCTATTTGCCGGTAGTATAGACACTCCAGATGTCTTTATTGAATGGAAGCTTGCTACTTATTTTTTACTAGTAGCCTGTTGTTTAATAATAATACACATCGGAACTGGCAATGTCTGGTCTCGAGCACCTACTTACTATGACTACCTATGGGACATAGGCGATTTCCTCAGCCCGAAACGGTGTTTGTTTTGAAACTTGCAATAATCTTGTCTAACATGGTTCTTTTCGATGTGCTTGATTGGTCATGACATAGCCCATCGTTTTCTTGCAGAAGTTCTACACCGAGTATTATCAAATGGGGGTATCGCCAGCCTCACAGAACCAACAAAACAATCGTCTTCCCCCTCCAAACGCGACTTTCCGACCGATCGGTGAGTTGAGCGCGTTTCTTGTCAATACACAGTCTTTCTCGCCCGTGAGAGTAATTATTTCCTTAAGAGATATTTTTCATAGGTACGATACAACAGTCGGTAAAGGTAGCTGATTTACTGACTACCTTTAGAGCGTCTTGACCTTGGATTTGAATATGGAAGCTACACAAGTGCACTATTTAAGCATGGACTCCCCACGACCACAAAATATGAATTTCGAGTTCAATAACACGTCAAAATGAATGTCCGTAGGCTTGAGTATGCAGCGCAGTTATCACTCCGAGACTGCTTAAGCCGTTGAAGGATACCGAAATCGTTAGTCGGTGCCAGACCCCTAAAATGGCTGTTTTTCATACGATGACAGACTTGTGACAACTTATATGCTGTTAATAACTGCCACCATTTATGTATATGGCGAAGGAAGGGTACAAGGCGCAACTGCGTCCGACAGGACAGATTAAACCAGATTTTCGCTTAATCAACAATGGGTCCTTTAGACGTACGCACTGTTGAAAATTTGTTGCTTCCTCTTGTGGACGACTACATTTCCCATTTCGTCGGCAAGTTGAACGAGTGTTTTGGCCACACCATGAACATAGCGTAGGGCAACCAGTACTTCGGTTTTGGTTCCATGTTTTAGTTCCTTCCACTGACTTTTCGACTGCACTTGCCAAAAACTGTCGCAGAATCCGCTGACTGTAATGACTTTCTGGAAAAGCCTAGTTCTGGCCTTTTTGTCGTCCGACTCGGTGCTGTGTGACTGCAAACTGCGGTGGTGTTATGCCACAGCTGTTCGCAGGAAGCGCCTGCGGTAGCAGGGAAACCCTAAAATAAGTGAGTCTGGAATACCACACCAATAAACGACTCGTCTGCAAAGCAGTCTTCCCATCTTCCTCTTCTGTTGTTGCGTTCACACCGCGCGTCCTCTCTGTCATTCGAAACGTGTAAGTGGACACACAGTACTTAAAATACATGTATTAACGCTGCCTTCTTTTCGTGCAATTTTCACCAACGGACTCAACGTTCTCCTCCTCAACAACCTGCTGAAGTTGCCAAACAATTGAAGTTTTGCCGGAGTTTATTAGAGTTGCCTGTGCCGCTTATGTGCCTCTCTTTTTGTGCCGCCGTATTCTCAACTAGTGCCTGCCCACGAAATTCTCTCAAATGGGAACGCGTACCACTCGGCAGCCGTCAAACAGCCCACCACATCTCCGACCGATCGACCCTCAGTGGTCCACGGTGGTGTCCACTCGCTTTGTTCTCGTGACAGATGCCTCGGTGAAGCAGCAGGCATTCCTTTGTACGTTCAGGAGGATGGCCGGACGGATCCACATCATTATCAGGCAAGATGCTCAACTTCCCGTATTTTGATTGAGGGAACAAGACTACCTCACGTCAGTCAATAGGACCCAGACGTTAAGCACTACTCTTCCCTTTTGCGAAGTGGGAGCCTTTAGGGGCAGTGTGTGTGTGTTCCTCTGTAATCGACCTGTTAAGGCGTACGGGCCCGAAGTAGCTGCCTTTGGAAGATTTTTGAAGGTGTGTTTTTAACAGCTCCTGCAGAAAAAACGCGCATTGTCAGAAGATACTGTGCTCCGACCACGCAATACTACTTCTTTCTCATCTGAAGAAATAGTGATGTTAGCACCACTCTGTCCCCAACAGCTACACTAATGTCCTTTATCTTGAGAGTTCTTGTAGCATCTACGCTACCTGTACCTCACATGACTGCCAGCACGCCTGGTCTGCCCAGCCCAAATTAGGTCTCATATATTGCCTTCTCGCATACGACGACCTGCGACAGTGGACATGGCGAGATCGGCCGATTCTCTTTTCCAGCAAAGAACGAATATGATAGATCCAGCGCATATCGCCATTTCCTGGCAGATCGTGGTGGAACGGATTTTTGGCTTGCCTCACATTCGTCGACTTCCAGTAGACGTCAGCGTTGGATTTAGACGTAACGGAGACAACGGGTAGAGTGTTATCTTGCTCGTCAGACTGCCCCACATTGCCGTTAGTCAACTAATGTACTGGTAAACGTACCCTTGTTTTTCGTGTCTCAGTTTACGTATGGCAACTAGTTTTAATAATTTTAAATTTACCCTCCGTCCTCCATATTGCAGTCCCTCTCGGCCACGAATGCGTCCGCTTTTCGCCTGCCGGGAAATATCGCTGCTCAGACAGATCCCAAACGATCTGCTGGTCGTGGTGCCACGCAACTGGACGTTGTACCTTCCAATTTCCTAGAATTTGCAAGCATGTCATCGCCCGGTCAGGGTAGTTGCGACTTCATCCTTATGGAATCAACCGAGGCAGCACCCATGACAACCCTGACCAACGCTCTTGAGAAGGCTGAGACATCTGCTCTGTCCTCCGCACGTTTCAAGTCTGAGCCCTCACTTGTCCTCACTCGCTCGCAATCTCCGCCTGTCCCCGAGGACACTGATGGCGACTGGAAGGCCACTCATTGGAAAGAGGATTCCCCAACACACGGAGTCAAGGCCTGTCGCCTATTTGCGAGGCCGCAAGGCGATGATGTCTTTGCTCAGGAGCCACGACGCTTCAGACCCTCCGCACTTCAGCCCTCCAGCACGATGGTCAATAATCGAGGGAAGACAACCCTTGTGGTTGAGGACCCGCTGCATTTCGATAACAGGACAGAGCAACCGGAAAATTATGCGGTTTCTTTCCCTAGACTGCAGGCCAGTTTTGTATGACGCCTATCCCTACTATCTCACTCCACCGTTTTGATCGCAGGAAGCCTCAGTGCTTATTCTGTTCTGATCGCTAGTCATGAACGTTCATAACTCCAGCAAGCGCTCATTTGTTATTTTTATACACGCTCTAACTGCGAGCAACGCACGCCAGTCTGCTGCCGGCTCTGCCAGTCGCTCTCCTTCTGAGAATTAAATTTTCGAGCATTTTGTTGGGCCTCGGCAACTCTTGTTACAGTGCATTCATGATCGGTGTTGCCACTCATCCCAACATATTTGATGTTTGGCCAACTCCTCGGATGCCATCTCCAATTGGGTTGCCTCACTGTGCGAGTCAATGGTTCTCTTTTGTTCTTACGTCGATTTTAAGCACTCACACTCTCCTGAACCTGGGAACTCTTATTTGGTGTGAGTGAACTTCTAAAATATTTTTATCGCGCGCCAGAAGGTGCCTGTCTTCTTCTCTCTATTCGATCGGATCTCCAAGATTTTCTCGCACTGTTGCTTCTGCCCCTCAGTCCGCCTATGGCTGTAGCTATGGAATAGTCATTTTTGAAGGTGCTTATCTGACATAGATGATTTCGACCATTGTCCGTTATTCTGGCAGAAAGTATTTATTTTTTGACGATGAAGACCATGGAAATCCAAACTCAAACAATTGGGGGACTTTGACTTGGGGATTGACTTTGGCGACCATTTATTGACTTCCGATTGAATGCCCTACAGCCTAAGCTACCGGGGGCACCTCTGACTGCAAAATTCGATATGTCCTTTGCATAAGCGAAAGCTACACCCTAGAATGTCAGGTTGTAGAAGATTGGATCGAAGTTAAAGAGGATGATGGTTGAAGTTAGTCCCAGGATAAAAAAAACTCATGACTGTGTGACTGCATTTTCAGCATCTGTATCGGCAGGCAGGAACAGCTGTTCCTCTACCATCTTTGCGGCGTTACCATTTCACCGAACTCGGAATTATCTCAGTACTGCGAGCATACAGAGCGTGCATATAGATCCCGTAATCTAGATGTCCGGTGTCCTTTCCTACTGCTCAACATTCGGGAACCTCAGGTGACAGTTAGGGAGGGAGTTGTTTAGTTTGCTTGCCTGAACTGACCGAGAATCCGCCATCGAACAACATAGCCAGCACCGCTGCCTTCAACACGGTCATGGGGAGGCTGCCGCGGTAGATCGTAGCCTGATTTAATTGCCAGATTCCCTCTGGAATTTCTTCACTGGTATTGGTGTTCCATGGGGTTATGCTGTCCTGACAAAGATTCTGCCCAGAACAGCTAGGCGATGGTCGTTGGCTCAGTGTATGACTCAGATGATGTTAATAAATGTTTCTCTCGTGTTTATGATCTGTCCAGAGTTAGTGCATCTAGAGATTCATACGAAACGCGGGACGAGAGAGAGAGAGTTCATCAGCCTGGACAGATATTGAGGAGTGTCAGGATTAAAAGTTTACGGGGATGAGGATTATCTGACGTGTACAAGTTAGCTTACTGTTAGTCTCCTATTCCATTGGTACCTGAAGGTATAGCATCATTTCTTGGGTTTGCGGGCATGCGAATCACGCGCGGACCAGCAAGTACGATTCGACATCCTCTGAAGCAGTCCATAAAAATCGATCCAAGGAAGAGGAAACAGGAATGTCTTGCGTTTGAGAACGTGAAGCAGCTGATGTCACAGCACCCAGTTTGGAACCTTGGGACTCCTTGGTCCTGACTGACACTACCAATGTCGCTCTGTGCGACAATGGCCCGGTTTAACATATAAAAGGGGTTTGACTTTGGAATACGCGATCGGTCAACCGACATAATGTGCCTCTGTCCGGTCGTCAGGTCGTGCGTCCAGAACACTGATTCCCGTGCTGTCGTGTCAAGGTTTCATCACGAAGGTATGTCTGCTGAATAACGTAAAGTAGTTAACCAGCTTAGCTTAAAGATAGATTTATTCAGCGATTCTATCTACTGCGATTTACTTGCAGTACCCAGAAGTCCCGGGTATACGCAGTTTGTGTCCATATTAATTGAGGGGCACCTCAGTTGTGTCTCTTCCAATGCCTTTAAAGACAGAATAGGAATTTCATTGTTAAAATCAGCCATCTTCTAATCCTACGTCGGGGCCTGGCCCCGCAGTCACCAGCCCCTGAGCTAAAGTTTGCATATAGAAGTGGCCCTCTGGGTACGCCCTCTGTATGGTCACGTAAGCAAGGATCCGAGCCAACCCCCCCTCCCCACCTTTTATGTAAAATCCTACTTAAGTGTTTGTTGTGGATCAAGGCGTGTGGTGGCACACCTGGGGGGTGGCCCCGGCCGTTCCAACCACCTGCGCCCTCTTCCGCCTCCGGTCGCCTTGACTCTGTCTTGATATCGGGTCCAGGGGCGGGGGGAAGATGGAGTGCGGCAGGTGCTACGAAAGTCCGTCCTTGTTTTATGCCTGGTGTAGAGCACACGATGGACGTCGTCGGTAACGCCACTCTAAATGCGTGGGAAAGAGAGGGCGAAGACTTTGTTTCGGAACTAACTTCTAAAGTATTCCAGCAGGAGTGTTCCCAAAGTGCCATAGACAAGATAAAAACAACTAACTGCGAGGGAAAAAGAAACGCATATCAAGGTAAAATGACCATTATGGTGGAAAGTCTTGACGTCAGTGTCCTTCTTGTAAGAAGACCCTTTGGCGGGCCTATTCTTCATGATATATCATAACCCGAGTTCTTGTGTAGTTCGACTGGCAGAATTGAAATGCGACTCGAATAGGATTGAGATGACGGGGTGGGTCTGCCGACAGAAAGGTGGGTTGAGTGTGATGTTATGCGCACGAGTATTAGATTAGAAGCAATTTGCCTCATTCTCCACTTAATCACTCATTGACATGTATTGTAGGAACCATACTTGTTAACCGTCGCTTTGACGTGTTCTTATACTATCTTAAGCGCATTATTCATGACCATCGGTGCTCTGTTGGAAAACAGCAGGTCTACTGTTTTCCGAATGCGCTAGCAGAAGCAACTGAAGTATTTTGGCTCTTTCCAACTTAAGAACTGGAATTTTCACTTTTCCGTGTGCTGGACGCCACTAACCTCACCAATAAAAGCAGATAGAGGGTCTAGGGATTGACTTTATTGAGATGGAGATCCGATCACATGCCAGTGGCAATCAAGGCAACATGACGTTTTTCTAACGCTTTTTCCTCCGGAAGAAATTGCAGGAGCATGACATCTTTTCGTCACTGAAGGTGACTCGACTGCGCCGAGTCTGTGGCACCGCGCGCGGGATGCCAGTTGACTGCCTTCCGCCCGGAAGCCACTGGTCTGCCGGCGCTGTTGTAGGGGGTTTGACTGATGAGCAGCGCACATGCTACGGGGCCGCTTAAGCGCTCACTCCTATGTCTTGAACACTATCAGGAAGACGTGCAAGACGCTTTCGTGCAACCAGCATACGTAGCGACTTGTGTGACGGTCAAAAACTGGAAGAATACAGGCCGCAGAGGATACAGAACGAGAAAGTATAGTAAAAAGGACGTAAGCCCACTCCTTAAAAACTTGTGTACTAAACGGATAATCCCACCGGACATAGTTCCGCAGCGAAAAGGCGTAATTAGGGCGAGATTTTGACGAGTTGTGCGTAGCCGCGACGACCATAACGACATGCCCCCCTTTCAATACTGTCACCAACTTCATGGTGGTGATGACAATTCAGAAGACAATCTGGTCAACATTTGCCGGCTGTACACTTGTCGCTAAGCCTGAGCGGGAAATTTCACAGCAGAGTTGAGCACTTCAGCAGCTGTTTGGACAGTCATCTAGGAGAGTGGGGTTTGCGACAGTGCCTACGGACACCTCTTATCAGTAGCGAACAAAAACTGCGTTCTGTAAAAAAGTGACCATTTAAGTAGTACTCACTTTATCGACTTTTGATGCTCGTTTAAATTCAAATTTTACACAGAAAATATGCACAAAAATACTTTCTTATACTCATTTGGTAGCAAATCACTTCATATTCTATACTCAAAGAAAGGACATCTTTTGATTTTAAAAAGTTTCTGATTATGAGGCTTTTCATGTAGCATCGCAACAGGACGTTTGATAAAGTTGCTTGCAATGTTTACACCACGAACACATCCATTACGGAATTTCATGAGACTTGTACGACGTCTCAATAGCGTGAGGAAATTCATGATTTTCTCTACACGGAAAATATACAGTATTGAGTTTTGTAGCTCCAGACGCAAGTCGAGATACAGGTTTGACTCAAAAATTATTCGGAAAGTAAAGACTTTAAACCCAAAAGATACCTCTTCTTCAAGTTTAAAATGAAAAACGAAGTGAATTTCAGTCAAATAAATAAGAGAAAAAAATACCCTTACACGGGTTTCATAAGATATAGTTGAATTTAAAGAAGCACCAAAAATAAGTGGAAAAAGTATGCGCCATTTAAGTAGTCATTTTTACCGAGTGCAGTTTCCGCATGCGGCCGGAGGGAAGTGCATTTAAAAACCATCTTGGCGTATCTGAAATATCTTAGGTTTATGTCGGACGATAATCAGTAGTCAAATCCCGCTTCAGTAATTTTCCTTAGTCGGAAACACATGTTAGGACTTTGACTAACATTCCATAGCCCTAATGAAAGGTATGAGGCTGTTTCGTTATGCTTATTTACCGGAGGAATTCAGTCGTCACTACTTTTCTAATGATGTCCTACACGTAATTTCTGACCGATGTTTTCTTAAGCTTAACAATACCACCTTTAGTTTTCTTTTCGGGCCTTTTTATGCAGAATGTATTGGAGTGGACCAATTCGACTGAAAAACGCTCCCGATCTACAGCCTAGTTCCCTCTACTTCGAACGTTTGTCTTCGAGTTATTTTTAAAATGCTTCCGTGACCTTGCCATGATAATGCTTTGATGCTTAGCGTCATGGGCTGGGTCATGCATGAACACTCCTGTCTTACGGAAAGGTTTGCCTATATCTCGAGCGTTCTTTTATAGATATCTGTCAGATA